TGCTCCAGTCTGTGCTCCCGACACAAGGCCAGCATGGCCTTGTTGTCTACGTACAGAACTGGAGGAGAACGAGGCGGCTCTCCTAGGTCAGTCAGCAGGTAGGTGAGCCAGCGTAGCTCCTGTGCAGCCATGGCCCCCGCGTAGATCTCAGCCTCACAGCTGGAGGTGAGAACAGAAGACGAGCAGGTAGACCGCCACAAAACAGAGCCGGAGCCAAGGCTGAAGGTGTAACCCTGTGACGACCGCTGCGTAGCCTGGTCGTCAGCCCAAGAAGCGTCTGCGTGACCTGTGAGGACCATTCGACGTCGCCCTCCAAGCACTAGCCCCATGCCCGACGTACTGCACAAGTAGCGCAACACCCTCTTCGCTGCAGCCATGTGCTCAGGTCGGTGTCTCCCAGGAGCAACATAGCGTGCCAAGATGCTAAGAGGGTATGCAAGGTCAGGTCGAGTGCAGGTCATCAGGTACATGAGGCAGCCAACAAGCTCTCGGTACGGGCCACTCGGCTCTACGGACTCATCCGAAGGCAGAGCTGAGAGCAAGTGGCGAGTAGACAGAGGAGTGGCCTGAGGCGAGGAGTACGTGAAGTTGAAGTGCTGAAGGACCTGCTGCACCATGTGTGACTGAGTTAGGGTAATGGTGCGCTGTGCTCTGTCCCGGGTGATCTACAAGCCAAGGTAGCTGCGCACTTCACCCAGGTCTGTGCACGTGTGTCTCTTTTGCGGCTCAGACTTCACGTGGGCGAGTCCAGCAGTGTCAGCAGTGGCAAAGACCAAGTTGTCAACGTACACAAGGATGTAGAACGGCGGCAAAGAGGTGTCGGTGCGCAGAAACAGCGACGGGTCGGCTATAGAAGGAGCAAACCCAAGAGCCGCAAGTGTAGTCCTCAGTGTGTCGTGCCACTCACGGGGCGCCTGGCGGAGACCGTAGACTGGCCGCCGGAGGCTCCACTGGGTACCAGGAGGAAACGACCCAGTGAAGCCAGGTGAGCGGCGCAGCCAGATCTCCTCGTGCAGGCTGCCCTGCAGGAAAGCTGTGCTGAAGTCAAGAGAGTGAAGCTCGTAGTCGCGCTGAGCGGCTATGTGCAGCAGCACCCGAAGAGTGGTCATCTTCGGGGTGGGAGAGAAGGTATGAAAGTAGTCAACTCCCTGCCGCTGACTGAAGCCACGAGCCACGTACCGCGCCTTAAAGACAGGTGGAGAACCCGGCGGCCGCTTCACCCTGAAGATCCACATGCCACTGACGATGTTCGCCCCAGGTGGGGGAACCTCGTCGACGTAGGTGCCTGTGGACTTCCAGGAAGCCATCTCTGCGTCCATGGCTGACTGCCACCGAGAGGAGTAGGGACCCTCGATCGCCTCAGCGTACAATCGAGGAGTCGGGATGTCTGGTGCATCCGGGTCTCCCTAAGGGGCAATCAGCGTGGACACGAGATGAGGCAAAGCAGCAGCAAAACACTGGAACTCCTCCTGCCTGTCCTCAAGGACGTCCGTGCTAAGAGCACACTCACCCCCGACGGACGGAGGACAGACAGACTCAGACTCAGCAACAAGACTAGTGGCGTAGTCTAGACGACAGCGAGCAGCGAAGTCGACAAGCTCAGCCACTAAGGCAGATGCAACAGTGGACTCAAAGGAAGGGTCAGTGACAACAGTGGCCAGGAGACGCGTGACAGTAGGACTGGCAGCACGAAGAGAGTCAAACTCAGGGTCAGCAAGGACAGGAAGAGAGGACTCTGGAGGAGACGGCAACGGGACACGCAGAGGAGCAGTGGAAGGATGCAGTGCCATCTGGTGTGTGCCTGGGACCGCAGGAGGACGCGAACGCGGAGCACGACGACTAGCGCGAGCAGCACGAACAGGCGACGCAGGACGAGACGCAGGCTCACGATGCTCAGCAAGACCTCCAGTAGGACCAGTGTAGGGAGAAGGAGCAGGTAGGGGGGAGGCGGGCTGTAACTGTGACGGCGACTGGTCAGACTGTGGACACTCTAAGGGAGGAGCAGGACCAGTAGAGGGCGGGAGACCAAGAACCTGCTCAAGGAGCGGAATGAAGTACGGCCTCGGCCGCGCAGCGCCTCCAGAACCAGCAGGGACAGCACCAGTACCCCCAGCGGCAGCACCAGCGCCAGCAGCACCTCCAGCTCCAACAGCGCCAACTCCAACACCCTTAGACGCACCAGCCAGCAGAAACATTTTTGCCAACACCCCCAACAGCTTTAGCTCCAGCAGCTCCAGCAGCACCAACTCCAGCAGGACCGGCAGCTCCAGTACCGCCAGCAGCTCCAGCAGGACCAACTCCAACAGCCCCAGCAGCACCCCAAGTCCCAGCAGCTCCAGTATCGCCAGTACGAGCACCTCCGGGACCACCAGCAACAGTAGTACCTCCAGCTTGAGCAGCACGGCTCCAGCGCCGGGCAAACCACTCGCGCAGCTCCAGTGGAGAGAATGGCTCCCGCCTCGACGAAGCACCGCCGGCGGCCACACGAGCAGACCCAGCGCCCCCCGGCTCCGCACCCCCAGGCTCCGTACCCCAAGGCTCCGCACCCTCTGACGCAGCACCCCCAGGCTCAGCACCTCCAGGCTCAGCACCCCCATGCTCAGCACCCCCAGTCTCAGCACCCCCAGGCTCAGCACCCCCAGACTCAGCACCTCCAGACCCGGCACCCGCAGGCTCAGCACCTCTAGCAGCACCAGAGTCAAAAGCTACCTCGACAGGCTCGACTGCGTCTACCTGGGACACACCTGACGGGGAAGGACCGTGAGGGGGGAGGGGGTCTACCGGGGGAGGACCTGGCACAAGGAAGAGCGGCGGCGGGGGAAGGGTCGCAGCGCGGTAGGGGAAGAGACGGTAGTAAGGCACCGACTCGTCAAAGCTGACGTCCTGGGAGGACAAAACACGGCGCGAGGTGGGGTGGTAAAACTGCCAACCAGGCGCGTCAGGGGGGAAGCCAAGGAAGACGCAGGGAACAGCACGGGGGGACACCTTGTCCGCAGGCAAGTCGCGGACAAACGCCCGAGATCCCCAGACCCGAAACGCAGACGCATCGCCAACCTTCCTCGTCCACCGTAGGGTGGGGGAGGTCTCTGGTAAGGAGACCCGGGGCTGAAGGTTGAGCTGATGCGCCGCGTACTGAACCGCAAACGGCCACAGAAAATGGGGGGCAGCCGCATGGATCATGGATGTACGAGCGACGTCCATGACCATACCAATGCGGCGCTCAGCAATCCCATTTTGCTGTGGAGAGGCCGGAAGCGTGAAGGTCTGGCGTATGCCCTGTGTCCGACAGAAGGCTCCCAGACGGGCAGAGGAAAACTCCGCGCCTCTGTCAGAGTGCAGACGCAGAACAGGAAAGTCGGATGGGAAAATCTCTCTGAGCTGGAGACGAGCTGCGCGGATCCAGTCGATCGACACCTCAGTGACGTCGCCCTTGCTGCGCAAGGGGAAGACCGTGGTGTAACGCGAGTAGTCGTCAACCACCAACAGGAAGTAACGCTCGTGCCCCTGGCCACGGACGCGAGCGGGGCCCCACACGTCCATATGAAGAGTCTGCAACAGAGCCTCTGTCGGTGGAAACTCGGAGGAGTGAGGGGCGGCGCGCTGTCGCCCCTCAACGCAGGGGACGCAGGTAGGGGTAGGCCCGGAAGGTAGGGGAGGGAGAGACAAGGGGAGACCAGAGACAAGGACACGGGAGGCCATGCCTCGGAGACAAGGCAGAGAGGGGTGACCAAGGCGGTGGTGCCAAAGGAGAGTCTGGTGAGACTGGAGATGACACGAGCAGGGAGCAGACACAGGACTAGACCTGGACGCTGCAGCAAACACCTGACTCGACGCAGCGACCTCACCAGGCTCAGCAGCCAGAGGAGGCTCAGTAGTGAGGGTGTACAGGCTCGACCCCGGCCGACGGGTGAACGTGGCCAAGTGTCGGCCTGTCTGAGCACACGTGCAGTGGGTCACCCGCTGACTCGTAGGAGTGAACTCGTCAACCCCCCTATCCTGAAGATCAGCTCCACTCACCAAGTTCGTAGAGAACGAGGGGAGGTAGAGACCTGACAGGGTGCCAGAGGGGGCTGCCGGACACGGTAAGTAAGTGGAGAAGCGAGCAAGGACAGGACCCCCAGAGGGGTCCGCCAGGGAGACCGCAACCGGTCGACTAAGCGGCGTAAGTGTGGTGCGGTCTCGAAAGAAGGAGCGGGAAGCACCCGAGTCAAGGGTGAAGGTGTGTAAGGCCTGAGCCAACGTGGTACCTGAGAGAGCAGACTTACCAGCACCTGGGGCAGCAGACGCGCTAGCACCTAGAGCAGCAGCCTCACCAGCACCTAGAGCAGCAGTCTCAATGCCCGGGTCAGGCGGAACACACAGGTAACAGTCACCCACAACACTATTAGAAACAACATACATGGCAGCAAGAATAGCATCAAAATCAAGATCAAAGATAGCAACCCCCGCCCTAGACAGCTCTCCCCAGCGAGGGATCTCAGAGGCCTCAGGGAACTGGTGACGCCACGCGTCCGTCAGGCGGCCGAAGCAGCGCTTGGTGGAGTGCGGGCCCCCGCACTGCTCACCAGCGCGGTCGCTGGTACGGAGAACGTAGGTGCAGGGACCAGTATGTCAGTAGAGCTGCACTGTGAGATCCCCGATTGATCCTTGGGGGGTTACAGGCATGTTAGCCTGGGGGGTTATGGGCGCACTGACCCGCTACTGAAACAAGCCCTTTTATCCCAATGGTCTAGTGGTTGGGATTCTGACATGGTATCAGAGCGGTCTCGGGTTCGAATCCCGGTGTATGCACATGCAGGCCGTTACCGCTGTGCTCAGTCCTGGGCCTCCCAGTATGGGGGGGTGTCAGCAGAGCTGCACTGTGAGATCCCCGATTGATCCTTAGGGGATTACAGGCATGTTAGCCTGGGGGGTTATGGGCGCACTGACCCGCTACTGAAACAAGCCCTTTTATCCCAATGGTCTAGTGGTTGGGATTCTGACATAGTATCCCCACCGCGCTAACGCGCAGCGTACCACTCACAAAGCTGCTGAGGGGACAGGGTCTCACGACTGCTCTGCTGCTGCTGGCGCGGACCACCACCGGAGCCATTCCTCTGCGCAGAGCCGCGACCAGGTCCACTGCTGCCGCCAGGGCCTCGGCCACCTCCGCCGCCTCCGCCGCCTCCACCGCCTCCACCGCCTCCGCTCCCTCCGCCACCACCGCTGCCTCCTCCGCCTCCACTGCTGCCACCGACACCTCCACCCCCGCCACCACTACCACCACCACCCCCACCCCCTCCACTGCCTCCACCACCATCTCCACCGCCCCCGCCAGCCCCTCCAGCGCCCTTGCCCCCCTTGCCCTTGCCGGTGCGGCGTCTCCCGCTCGGGGCAGACGCAGCGCCGACCGACTCGAAACCAACGAGGTCGGCTGCAGCAGCAGAAGCAACAGAGGGCAAGAGGGGGGAGGGGGAACACCCCTCAAAGACGGGGGTGCGAGGGTCACCACGAGAGGCTCCTACAGCGAATATGCTCTTCTCTGCTGCTAGGAGGCGCTCCTCGAGGAGGTCGACGGTGAGTGTGGTGGGGCAAACTGAGAGGAAGTGGTCCCTGACTAAGCGAAGGGAGTCAGGGAGGCGGGTGACTATGTAGTAGAGGGTGATGTAAATGGGGAGGGGGTTCTGGGCACAGAACTCAGCAGGAAGCGCAGCGCGGTAGCGAATGTCACTAGTGCGAAGGTGAGTGACAAGGTCAGCGACTGTGGGAAAAGCAGCAAGGTCAGGGAACAGGTACGGCAGCATGAGGCGGTTAAGAGCAGCAGTGGCAGGGGAGGAGTAGCGTGCAACTACAGCGTCGTACAAGGTCTTAGCACTCTTGTACTGGCTAAAGTGCGCACGCTCAGCGGTCGGTAAGTGGCGACGCACAGCAAGGCGAGCAGCAGCATCGCGTGTGGCCCACTGTGAGCGAACAGTGCTGTCAGCAGTAGCAGGTGGGGCGGGAGAAACACCAGAGGTGAGATCGAACAGAGAGAGTCCGTCTGCCCTATCGCACTGGAGAAACAGCTGGAGGTCATCGACCCAGACCTCAAAGTCAACGGCACGGCCCTCAGCATCAAAGGTAAGGACACTGGGGGTAGCCATGACTGCAGTGGCCTAGTAGGGAGTGATCTCACCAGTCCGAGTAAGTAGGGCCGGGGCGCACCGGCAGGAAAAGCAGCGGCTCGATAGTAGGGCGATTCGGCGGCTCGGCGGCTCGGTTGCTCGGCGGCTCGGCTGCTGGGCGGCTCGGCGGCTCGGCGGCTCGGCTGCAGGGCGGCTCGGCTGCTGGGCGGCTCGGCTGCTGGGCGGCTCGGCGGCGACGGCTGGTGGGCGGCTCGGCTGCTGTGCTGCTTGGCGGCTCGGTCGCTGGGCGGCTGAGCGGTGACGGGGCCGGTAGAGGCGGCAACGTGGCCGCTAGGGGAGGGCGACGGGGCCGCAGGTGACGGCGACGGGGCCGCAGGTGGGGGCGACGGGGCCGCAAGGGGCCTAGACGGGACGGCGACGGGGCCGCAAGGGGCCTAGACGGGGCGGCGACTAGGCCGTAAGGGGCCTAGACGGGGCGGCGACGGGGCCGCAAGGGGCCTAGACGGGGCGGCGACGGGGACGTAAGGGGCCTAGACGGGGCGGCGACGGGACCGTAAGGGGCCTAGACGGGGCCGCGACGGGGCCGTAAGGGCGCCGCGAGGGGGCCGACGGGCGTCGCGAGGGGCCGTAAGGGGCCGTAAGGGCGGCGCGAGGGGCCGTAGAGGGCGGCGCGAGGGGCCGTAAAGGGCAGCGCGAGGGGCCGTAAGGGCGTCTTGAAGGGGCCGTGAGAGGGCGCGACGGTAGGGAGGGCACACAGAGAGCGACTCGGGCAGGAGCGAAGCGCGCTCCGGGCAGGAAAAAAAAAAAAATCGTGGTGGGCCCTAGAAAGCGTTCTCACTAGGGAACCTGCTCGATACCATGATAAGAAACGAGGAATGAGAATGACTAAGTGAAAGTTGGGTACAAGTACAAACCCTAGAAATGTGTTGTACCCCATATGTGCTACCCCACTATAGCCTACATAGGCTAAGTAATATAAGTCTGACAATGAGAACAAGATAAGTTGATAGCAAAGAGATACAGGGCTTTATATGATTACAAGGAATATGAAAGGTTTAACTAATTCTAACTGTTGTTGCGGTTCGATACAGCGACGACTCTGGTAACTGCTCAATAGTGAGTCAGTTATGTGTCTTTACTGTCGCGCTGCTTTCGGCGAGCCAAAGGTCGCTGACCTTTGACCTTCTCTTAACCTCTTGTTAGAATCCCAGCCACTAATCATTGGGATAAAAAGACTTGTTTGTGTAGCGGGTGAGAGCGCCCATAACCCCCCCAGGCCAACGTGCCTGTAACCCTTCCGTATGATCAATCGGGGATCACCATTGGACCTCTAACACCCCCCCGCACTGGGATGCCCGAAGTGCACACGCTGGGATTCGGACCCGAGACCTTCGCTCTGATGCCGTGTCAGAATCCCAACCACTAACCACTAGGATAAAAGGGCTTGTTTGTGTAGTGGGTGAGTGCACCCATAACTCCCCAGGCCAACATGCCTGTAACCCTTCCCTAGGATCAATTGGAGATCACCATTGGACCTCTGACACCTCTTGCTGTTCCTTTTTGTCAACCGCTTTGATTGACTCGCTGTTACTTCGCTGTAGTTCGCTTCGCTTACATTGTAGTGCTCGACACATCAGAAGCGCGAACTATATGTTTCCAACACTCCCCTTCGCTTCTGGAGTGTCATCACATTCGTTGCTGGTGACGTGGCTTTGTCCATTCAGCAGCATGCAGTACTCGAACTTCTGCTTTCCGAGTTTCTTGGTCAAGTAATCTCCGGCCATCTCGGACGTGGGGCAGTAGGATAGCTCGAGTATCGCTTTCTCGATCTCGTCCTTCACGAAGAAGTAGCGCAAGGCGATGTGATTCGTTCGGTTCGCGAACCCGCTCTTGTTCGCTATGTGTATTGCAGATTGGTTCTCATAGGAGCAGGAGAAGCTGGGTAACTGGGCCACCTTTGCTTCTTCCAGTAGTTCGCGAAGGTATAGTCCTTCCTTGGTGGTTGAGCAGAGTGCAATGTATTCTGCATCAGCTGAGGAGAGAGCAATTAGCTCTTGCTTGCTCGACTGCCACGAGATAGGACCGACGGGTTCTGTTAGAGGTCCACTGTTGATCCCCGATTGATCCTAGGGAAGGGTTACAGGCACGTCGGCCTGGGGGGTTATGGGCGCACTCACCCGCTACACAAACAAGCCCTTTTATCCCAGTGGTTAGTGGCTGGGATTCTGACATGGTATAAGAGCAAAAGTCTCGGGTTTGAATCCCTGTGTGTGCACTTCGGGCATCCCAGTGCGGGCGGGTGTCAGAGGTCCACTGGTGATCCCCGATTGATCCTAGGGAAGGGTTACACGCGCGCCGGCCTGAGGGGTTATGGGCGCACTCACCCGCTACACAAACAAGCCCTTTTATCCCAGTGGTTAGTGGCTGGGATTCTGACAGGCTCAAGTCGATAGATGTAGCCGGTACGTGATTGCCTGTTGTCAGAATCGTCTGCGTGGTCAGCGTCCACGTAGCCGTTTAGCTTTGGAGTCGTGTTCCGGTCTTGTGGTAGGTTAGGCCGATCATTGGTGTGCTGACGAGATAGTGTAGTGCTCGATCGAGTTCCGCTAGGCAGCAAGTTGACTCGCTGAGTACGATAAGCCCGTGTCAAACTGCTGTAATGTTTATATTGAGAAAGCTTGCATTCTGTTCTTATAAAGGCATCGTGCTTCATTACAATAGCAGTAATTACAACATTCTCGTCCAACTATAGATTATTCAATTTTCGTATACAACTAGGGGTGGCTGGGTGGGGAATGGAACTGCAAGTTCCAAATGGCCTCCAACCCTCGTTATGTACTCGACAAATTGTAATTCGTCGTTGCCTTGCTGCGATATAGTTAGCTGCGCTTTCACAATATGCATTTTTGGAAAGTGTTACACACTTCAAAGATATATATATATATATATATTGTGTAAGCTGTTGTGGGGTATGCTATAAGGGGTATAACTCAGTTAGGGTTAGTACGTGTACTCGATTTCTTCTCAATGCAATCATTCTTGTTCATTTACTTGACATGGTTTCAGAGCAGTTCACTCCGTAGGACCTTTTTTTTTAAGGCCCACCATTCGTTCCTGCCCTGCCCTGCACTATCGCGCTGCCCTGCCCTGCCCAGCGCGCTGTCGCGCTGCCCTGCCCAAAGCCGCGCGCTGTTGTGCTACCTGCTTCCCGCGTACGTGCCCTGCCCTGCGATCGCGCTGCCCCACACTGCCCCGCCGCACGCTGCCCTGCTGCCGCGCGTGCTGCGCTGCTGCCCGCGCTGCCTTGAGCTGCCATGCGTTGTCCTGCGCTGCTGCGCCGCTGTTCCGCACGCGCTGCCATGCCCGTCGCGCGCTGCCGTGCCCTGCCCAGCGCGGTCGCGCTGCCCCGCACGCGCTGCCCTGCTCGCCACGCACATGCCCTGCCTTGCCCTGCGTGCTGGCCTGCTGGTCGCGCGCCACTCTGCTATGCTCGCTATGGCTTCTCTCAGTGTTCCCACGCTCGATCCTGAGGGCCGTTAAATCCAGTTTGAGACTTGGGTAGACGACTTACAGCTGTACCTACAGAGCGAGTCAAAAGACGGCGTCTCCCTGTTTGACCACACGTCTGGGACCTCTCTCGCTCCTCTCAAGACAACTGACAGTGCGACTTGCTCACAGTGGCTTACCCGTGACGCTACTGCTTGCCTAGCCGTTCGAAACCACCTGCCGTTAGCCGAACGCGTGCAATTGGCCAGCACAAGATAGCCAAAGCACTGTTCGACGCTGTAGTCGCTCGTTACTCCTCCTCTGCCTCTCTCGGCCGCCTTATACTGCCCTACCTTTTTCCCGAGCTGTCAGCCTTTGCCACAGTCGACGGCCACATCACCCACCTTCGCACTAGCGACACTCGCTATCGTGTCGCGCTTAAAGCCAAGTTTTTAGATGAGAACCCTCCCCCCATGTATATCACTCTCTACTTCATCGTCACCCGCCTCCTTGACTCTCTTAGCGCAGTCAGGGACCTCTTTCTCGCCATGGACCTCATGTACCCCACGGACCTCATTGTCGACCTGCTCGAGAAGCACCTCCTTGCAGCCGAGGCTTGCATAGTCGTTGTAGGTGCTACTCGTGGCACTCCTCGCACTCTCTTTTTTTAGGGGTGTTCCCCCTCCCCCTTTGCCCCATCTTTCGCTTCTAGTGCTGCTGTTGACTTCCTTCGTGCTGAAGAGGACGGGGCTGCGTCTGCTCCTAGTGGTAGGCGCCATACCAGCACGGGCAAGGGAGGCAAGGGTGGTGGGGGTGGCAGCGGTGGAGGCGGTGGTGGAGGCGGTGGAGGTGGTGGAGGTGGTGGTGGTGGCGGTGGGAGTGGTGGTGGGAGTGGGGGCGTTGGTGGTGGTGGTGGTGGTGGTAGCAGTGGGAGTGGTGGCGGCAGTGGTGGCGGCAGTGGGAGTGGTGGCGGCGGCAGTGGTGGTGGTCGGGGTGGAGCCGTTCAGAGGGGAGGTTTTGGCGGTGGTCAGAGGCAGCAGCAGCAGCGTTCGCGCGAGACCCCTACGCCCCAGCAGCTTCGTGAGTGGTTTGCTCAGAGTGGGGCGTCTAGGGCTAGTGTTCGCTGCTCGTACGTCATTCGCACAGGTGACTGCGCTGGTCAGACATGCGGGAAGGTTGGTCACACACAGTACCGCTGCTTCTCCCATCTTGTCGACGCCTGGTGCGCAGAGTTTGGCGACGAGGCTGAGCTCCCCCACTGGCTAAACCTGCTTAGGAAAGATGTGGATGTATTTGCTCTTGACTATGATGCTATCCTTGCTGGCATGTATGCTTTGACTGTTAGTGCTAAGGGTGACTGTTACCTGTGTGTGCTGCCCGACCCTGGTGTAGAGGCTACAGCTCTAGGTGCTAGTGAGTTTGCTCTCTCTGATATTGCGCTTGCTGAGGCCTTGCACACCTTCACTCTTGACTCAGGTGCTTCCCACTGTTTCTTTCATGACAATAACACAGTCACACCACTCCCTGCACCG